CAGTAAATTGTTCGCATTGTTTTTTGGGATCTTTTACCCAGGCAAATTATGTGAGAGTTCAAGTGAGCGATGCCAAAGGACCATGTCAGATCTTTGTGGGCAGCCGCTACGTTTCCCGACACAAACTGCATGCTGTTTACGCATGGATGTTTCAAGATGATGTTATATAAATGGAACTCTTGAAAGAAACTAAAGTGGGTTTCTATCAACATTGTTTTCAATATTGGACATTCTAGTATCCACCTCAACACTGCCTCCCCACTGGTCACCGCTGTTGCCGGCCACTCCGTTGCAATGCCTGTGGCAGAGATCATGCGAAGACGTGTGCCCACTCCATGGGTTGGGTCCAGGAGGGATGTGTGGAACAGCTTTGGAAAATAGTAAACATCATTGATCATTGTCACCATTGTAGTTTTTGTCGGGTGAATTTAGAAATCAGCGATGGGTTGGAATCCAGAGAGAGAGAGAGAGAAGTTTCCAAACTTGAAACTTGAAGCAACCTCTTTTGCAAAAGGGCTTTTTTTTGGCTGAAGCGCTGGTTGAACTTGTGCTACCCGCTGCCCCGGATGGCTGACCTCGAAGCCGTGGTGCCAGTAGCGGGCTCGCCACAAGATCCCCTGCCGTGGAGATCTGTGCGTCCAACCCCCAGGGTACATTGATGGCTGTTTGTCACAGTCGCCAACCTACTGATCTTATACATATATATATACATATATTTATCAATGCATATGTATATATATATATATGTGTGTGTGTGGGTGTGTGAATGTAGATGCTTATATGTCAATATATATATATATATATATATCGATATGTATATGCCTATCTCAAAACATACCGGCATGATATACAGGCACGTCTTTAAAGCCTACTTGCTATTTCCAAACATCTATCTATCTATCTATCTATCTATCTATCTATCTATCTATGTATATATATATCTATATATTCTTTATATATATATATATATATATATGAGTCCACTTTGTTCGCATCTGATTTTCAGATTCCTCTCAAACTTCACCACCCTGTGTGTAGATGCATGCATTGACCATCAAATTCACACACCCAGGTCCAGGTCGTGGCATCAAATGGACCTTTGACGAAGTTGACCCTTGACATAGCCCAAAATACATGTCATTTGTTGGGACGGTTACTGGGTCCCTAAATTTTTACAGGGAGCGATGTCAAAACATCTGAACTGGCGATAACCCAACGAAGCCTACGATTTAGATAGTTTTGCGTAATTATTCTTTCGAGGTTGGAATAGGGGGTTAAAACCTTCGAGAAAAAAAAGTCCAAATGTCAATCAAGGATTAGAGAGGCAGCGGCATTCATCTCGAGGGTTGCAAGTGGATAATTTTTTTGTTGGGGTTAACAATCACCACAAGTCAGTTGGGATTAAATGTCTTTTAATTTGAAAAGCTACATGTTCAGTGAAATATCGATCTGCACCCCCAAGATCCCCCAAGTATTTCACCTAAGCGAGCCATGCCATTTTTTATGTTTAAAGATTCTAGCTTCTTTTTTGTTCCAGCTCAGGACAAGTTGGCCGCGGACATCTATGATGCTCTTCCTTTCCCAACAAGGACTTACCTCGAGTCTGACAGGTGGAAGGGTGGTGCTTTGCTGGATTTGTCCCAGAGTCGCATGATTCGGACGCCTACTTCCCGTGAGATAGTCGCCAACTACCATTGGCTCATTGCCATTGTTCGGGCATCGCCGCAGAAGGACATAAGTTTCAAACAGTTTTCTTAAGCCAACAAAAAGGCAATCCAGAGTTTTAGGCATGCGAGGTCTGCAGGGATGATCGTTCTTTCAACTAAGTTTTTTTCTGAAACGCAACCCATTAGTTTTTGTTTACCACGTTGGTGTATTGTTTTAAAATCAGGGCTGTTTCCCGAGTGCTCGCGCAGGTACCTTCTGGGTACATGTTGACCGATGTCTTTTTGCAGCTCGACCGGAAGATGAATCGCAATCTCTTCCAACCCAACCCCAAGGAGGGCGAGGATCGAATGAAGTTGGCAGGCATTGAAGCCTGCAAGTGCAAGAAGCTGATTGGAGCATTGCGTGCTTTGTGGCGATCATCTCCATCGTCGTACTGTGACCGCATGCAGGACTTGAAGGCTACGTTGCAAGCCAGCCCTACAAAGCCTGGTACTGGAAGCGATGATGATGAGCCTGCTGGAGGCGATCTCAGTGACGATGGTGCTGGTAACGAACATGAGGGTGATGATTCAGAGCAAGGTGAAGGTGAAGAGTCAGAGCGAGGTGAAGGTGAAGAGTCAGAGCGTGGTGAAGGTGAAGAGTCAGAGTGTGAAGGTCATGATCCAGAGAGTGGTCATGGTGATGGTGTCCCAGCTGATGATGGGGAGAGTGAGCATGGGAGCTTGTCTGCCAAGACGCTTGAGTTGCCTGGCAATGGGTCAAGCCCTGAGATGGTATCTTCGAGCCAAGAGAGCGCAGAGAGTGAGAGTGGCGTGGTGGGGGATTCGCAAGTCAGCGATGGCTGGCTTGGTCGAGCATACATGGCCGGGAACGCAATGGATGCCCAATATTTGTTTTAGCCATTTTCAATGTTTTTAGTTTGTCCTCAAGATTTCATTTCGCACAATACCTTTCTTAAGTTTGTATTGGGCACGTTTGGTTTTGAATTCTGGTTTGTTTCCCATTCCTGTATTCGAAACCAGCTGTAGGATCGCGAAGAGCAGGCGCGTGAGGAGAAGCGTCAGGATCGAGCGCACCGAGATCAGAAGTTTCGCATGCTTGTGGAGCACATCAAGGCTGATCTTGAGCGAGAAATGGGCGACGAATTTGGTGAAGGTGAGTGGGCCCCCTTCCAGGAGTATTGCCTTTCTGCCTTGGAGAACCATGGTGAGTACGCGTATGGTAGTTTGGCTTGCCATTGATCAATGCACTTTATGATTTTGTTTACAAGCCACAACACCTTCCACCTGTCATGGTCTGTAGCTCAAGCTAAAATTACTAAAGCAATGCCGGCTTACCACTGTTTATTCTTCTTTTGAACCGGTCATCAGGCAGTTTGGCCAACTACGAGTTCTACAAGAGGTGGCTTGTAAAGCGCAAGTCTCAGACCCAGGACCTGGGTTATCAGCCAGCCATAGTAACTTAGTATGCTTTAAAATAACTAATTTAAAGCAGAGCAGCACTAAAAGGTGGGGGTTTACAAAAAAAAATCCAGTGTAGTTTCACCGACCCACTGAACTCCCACCATCCCTCGCAAGTCCTGGCCACACGCAGGACTTTGGCAAAGTGGACCCAATTCCTGCTCGCAATGCAGCTGCTGTAGCTGGGATGATTTGGATCATTTTTGTGTCAGCCAAGCAGGGTTAAATTAATATAGCTTCACATGGACAAAGCTGTCTATATAATCATTTTGCGGTTGTAACATCAGCCAAGAGCACTGCATGGTGTTTGGGGAAGATGCCTTCACATCTCAGGAATGTGCAAGGCCCTTGAAGCGTGCCCTGACCATTATGAATGTGAAGCCAGCTACAGTGGTTGCAGATACCGATTCTGATGTTCCTGATGATGGACGTGCCCCTGCCCCAAAACGTCCATGTGTGGCTACTCGCATTGAAGAGCACTTGAAGAAGACATCGCCTACTATTGTTGGAGGTCAAACAGTTCCCTGATTTCACTCATGTGTTTAAGGGAATTTTGAGCACAGTGGTGAAAAACATTCGAAACATGGATGGAGCATGCAAGAGTTTTTGTTTTCCCGGTTCTGTGTTTTCATACCCCGTTTTGAGGCTAAGAAGATGGCCCTGGAGAAGAAGGCTTTGGGTGGCAAGCCCCGAAGCACAATCCCTCAAAAGGATCTTGGATCTCCAATGAATGTGTTCAAGGGTTACGACCTTCAAGAGTTAAACATTCCATTGGAGTGCAGACCAGGGGAGCAGGGATCATACCAGGGTCGCCACGGCTACACAGTGGCTTCCACCAATGGAAGTGTACCCTGAACTGTCTTTAAAACAATTGTTTTCAAACATTTGTTTTTCTGTTAAACCACGTTGTGAATCAACATGTAATGCAGTTGATTTGAAACCAGAAACAACAACTCCAAAGGCATGTTGAATATTTTCACTCCAGCCCAGGCAATTGAAGTTCTTCTCAAGAATCGCGCCTTCGTGGTGAAGCGACTTCCAGCTGACATGCCCCCGTCTGCTGACAATCGGAAGGGCCAGGTCACCTGGTCGAAATATGAGTCAGTCTTGGCAGCATGGAACGATGCCAAGTTCAGGGCAGGGTTCAATTGGACACCAGAGCCATGAGGCCCTGCTTTTAGCTTTTGAAATCCGACCTTCTTAGGAGCATATCAGTGGAGGACGGACCAAACACTCCAAAATTTGCCCAGGGATGCAGTGTTAGCCTGTAGCTGCATGCGACCTTAACAAAAAACCATTGATGTTCATCTACTGTTAAAAAAGTTGAGGGTGATCAACTATCTGAAGCGCAGCTGCGCGGTACTGCAAAGGCTAGGTTCTTGGATCTTAGATGTGATTCATGGCTCAGGCCACATGTGGGGATATTGTGATTGATCGCGTGAAAAGCTGTGAAAAAATAACCAGTGGTTTCATGCAAAGTGTTTGTCTCTTCCATGAACCCACCAATCAAATTACCACCAGCCCACCAACCAAACCCTCGTGGGTGAAGCGCTCATGCTCGAGCCTTGCCAGGTACTTCAAGCTGTAGCCAGAAGGTACAGCCTCGGAGAGGACTGTCTGGGTGATGGGGGAGCCTGTGCAGCCTGGTTTGGCCCGGGGTGTTCCCAATAACTTCTTGCCTTGTCTCATAGCTGTTTTGGGTTGGATCAAGTCGGGATTGCCCCAGCCTACCTGGCTCCTCAAATTTTCCTGTGAAACATGGGGAAAAGCAAGAGCAGCCATGCAGATGCTGTGTCCAAGAAGGTTCGCAAGGTCAACAAGGCCATGCCCTTTCATGGAGACCCTCTTGTTTCGCCACAGTTCCCTCGAGACATGAAGGGGAAACAGAAGTCTTGGATCCTGGCCGGACTCAAGCACTTGAAAGCACCGATTGCTGCACAGCCTGAGCAAAGGAATTATTTTTCCAATGATTTTTTAGGGTATTGTAACCATGACATTGTATATACATATAAAGCTGGGATACAAACTTTATATATATATATGCAGAATAAGTACGTGTATATATATATATATAATTAAGAAAATCATAAATAAATAAATGGATATATATATATATGTATACCTGAGGGTATTCTATATATACATATATATATATATGTACGTGTATATATATATATGTGTATATGTATATATGTATCTATAGGTAGAAACACCAGGGGATAAACAACATCCCTTCATACCCGGGTCCAAAAATTTGATGTTGGACAGATGGATGGGTTTCTTGCCACATCCAGCCTAGGTTTTTGCAACTTTGGTCGCTTTGCTTTTCCAAGTCGATGGTTTGAATTGGGACAAGCCGTCAGACCATGTGGAGACATTTGCGGGAAAGATGGCTTGCACCAGAGCCGAGTGGGAGGCCCATTTCAACATCACAGTATCCAAGTTGTTTCCCAAAAAATCCAACCAACCACAATACCAGATTTCAATACTTATCTCAACAACCTTTGCAGCCTACCTTGGGGACTTCATACAATAAGGGTTTCCAAGCTAAGCGCCACGACTCCCTCAGGGTCCCAGGATGGGCCTAATTGCCAAGAACCATGTACCGAGCACCCCCACAATGTCTCACAGCGTGAGTACCTAAGATCTGGTTTTTGGGATCCTGGGATGTAGCCTCAAAATTATGGGGGATGGAGTTGAACCAAGTATAGCATGGTTGTTTACTTGAAATTCAAAAGCGTCATTGCAAGGCACAATGTTTTGTGAGTTTCAAGTTCCACGATTCTTTGAAAAAAAGACACAGTAACGGTTGAAACTAAACAAGTGCCACTTGTTGTTACAAGCAAGTGACCTGGAAGGGTTTTTTGTGGTGAAAAAAAAGTCTTCCAGGTCACTTGTTGGATTATAACCAATGGGAATCTACAGCGGGGAAAGCAAACATGAATCCCTGTATGTAGGCCAATCGTGTTGCAGTTCCATTGGACTTGGAGCTGGGTCAAAACAACAACTTGCTTACCAATGATGGATTTTGCAATGCGTTGTACCACATCTGCAACACCAAGCCGGGGTCTGGGCATATGACAGCTCCAGTCTGTTCCTCATGGGTGTTTCTGATACTTGATTGCAGATTTGGGTCTTCAAGAGATGACCTCATGTAAAGTTTTGGAATTTCAATCCGTGCTTATCCACATAAAAAAAAAGTAAAAAATTCACCCACTGGATTCTAGAGAGGCCACATCAATCGATTCCAACCAATCAACAATAGTTCTACCATTCTACCCCCTATAAGTTCTCAAGTGGATTGTACAGCAGGCACTAGACTTCAAGCAATCATGGTTTCCCCAGGTCCAGGATCGAATAGCTCCCCATTTGGTTGTAAATCTGACAAGCCCACCTGTAGATTCTCAGAAGTAATGGATCAAAAGATCAAATAACAACCCCATTGCAGTGCAAAAGCTGATAGGCCCCTCACTAAGCCATTTCTATTTAGTTTCCAAACGGTGCTCCAACTGAGTTCTCGTGGAAGCACTCTTCGGAGTGCTTCCCGGCCACTTGGGCGCTCGGACAGCAAAGCGGTGGAGGATGGTAATATCCTTGCGGCTAGAGCTCTGGTTCTGTGCTTACTAGCCAGTGCCAAAGCCATGTTCTGGTGCCTAGAGCAGCCAGCAAGCAGTTTGATGTACCTACACCCATGCTTCCAATTCCTGATTCGCTTGCTTGGAATGCACCGGCTCCGGGTCAACATGAGCAATTATGGGGCCCCTACAAAAAAAGCAACTCTCTTATACAGTAGACACTCAACTTTCATTGAGCTGCTTTCTTCATTCGTGTTTTTATTTCTTCATTCGTGAATGATTGGGATTTTATAATGGATTTAACTATGGCAACCGTCCATCCTGGTGAGGATTTGCCCCTTATAATGTTTTGGTATGTGCCCATGTACAGCTGTATATGCCCTGTGCTTGTCGTGCAGTCCTCGGTGATATTTTGTAGTGGCCACATATGTATGTATAATATTTGAATACAATACATATATATATATATAACTCTTTCTATATCTCTATATATATATATATATCTGTAATCTAAATATCTATATCCAATTTTATCCTCAATCACCAGCCACTGGCCCACCTCCCTGTCCTGAAGATGTCTCTCTTTGCTCTGCCTAGGCCATGCTTGTCTTGATGACATTCAAAACTATACCGTGGAGGAACGACTTGAACAGCGTGAAATGGCAGTTCGCTATGTGAACCAGAAAGGGGAGAACAGGGTTCATGGTGGAAAACACCTTCGTGCTTCTCAAGCTTACCCAGATGAGTTTCTCAGATTACCATGTCAAGAGAAAGTCTGCGAATGATTCCACATGATTTGAAAGCTTCAGGTATAGCTGGGCATACCGGGCAAAGATCATTATCGTAACTACGTTTTGGCCTTCACAAATAACCAAAGCGAGTGGTACCAAAATGGATGCTATATGTTTGGATCTTACAAGTAGCCAAAACGAGTGGTCCCAAAATGGATGCCACATAGTGGTCCCAAAGCATTTTTTTGGACCTTACAAATAACCAAATCGAGCGGTCCCAAAATGGATGCCACATAGTTCTTCAGATCTTATTTCCCACCAACAACGCCTCTTCCATTGCTAAGGTTCGGGCAAGCCATGACCAAGTGCAGATCGCTCCACAAGAAGCGAAACTTTGCCAAAGCGATCCGCTTCCTCCGTGCAGCTCGGAAGACCACCAATGACTACAACCGTAAACAGCGGATCAATACCTTGTGGATCAAACATGCCAACCTCAAGCCGGTGATTGAATATCTTTCCCAAGCTCACCGCTAGGGTGGCTGATGTCCAACCTGGAACTCTTTTTGTTCCAACAATGTTTAATTTTACATGATAAGGAGCTGGAATGCCAAGCTCAATTAGTCAGTCCAATTTGCTTTGCACAGTTGACCACCTGAAAGGGTGGGGCCATGGGGTTCTTTGAAGCAAGTGATCGATAGCGGGGTTGAAAAGTGTGGCTACATTTGTTATTGGTCTCAAATCTTGACACCTACAGATGATATTGAAATCTTTCCCAATGAATTCATCCTCATTTCCAACACCTATACGAATGGTTCTCAAATCTATCCCCAATAAATTTATCCCAGTTCCATCCATGGGTCTGCCGTTGTTCTCTGGGAGGACCATGCCTCACTTCAGCTTCGATCGGCCTCTGGGCACGCCTGGCAAGATTGCAGCACAACTGAGGGAGAAATTCGAAATTCTCATGGCAACTATGGTTTGTTCTGGGCTGGGCATGATTAATTCAGGGTTTCTGGGAGATGTTTTTTTTTCATAATGTTGATGAATTTTAAACCGTGCGATTTGCAGCGAGAATCATGCGATTTGGAGCGAGATCGTGCGAAATGCAATTTCCCTTAAAAATCTACCAAAAACACATATGATGTGAATCCTGTTTCAAGCTAGATATTTCTGCTCGATCGAAGTCTTTTTGGTTGCTCCAGCCAGGCTGAGCGGCCCTAAGTTCCAATGGGTGAACCCTCAAAGCGTTTGAGGTCTAAAACCCCTTCTTCTTCCTCCAGGCCATCGGCACTGAGGGGCAGTGCCAGGCACACGGAGGAAAGAACGAAGAAAGCAGCCAAGTCCCAGGAGCTCAAGGCGACTACGAAGGAAGTAGACCGAAAGGCAAGCAGCACTGAGAAGATTGGTGCCAAGCAGGCCAGTGCTAAGAAGCAAAAAGCAGAAACCAAGAAGGCAGAACCGAAGCCATTGGCCAAGAAGACAGAACAGAAGGAGAATAAGGAGACAGCACAGAAGGAAGGTACCAAGAAGAGAGAGCAGGGAGGTAAAAAGAAGGCAGAACCGAAGGAAGATCCCAAGAAGGCAGAGCCAAAGGAGAATCCCAAGAAGGCAGAACTGAAGGAAGGTACCAAGAAGGCAAACAGAGATACAGAGACAGAGAAGAAGGAAGACACCAAGAAGAGAGCAGAGAAGGCAGAGAAGGCAGGCACCAAGAAGACAGAAAAGCAGGTAGAACCGAAAGTAGAGGGTAAGAAGGCACTTACAGCAGTCGATGCAGGAGCCAAGAAGGAACAGAAAAAGCAGCTTAAGGTTTCGGAGAAGGTTGAGAAGGCAAGCAGCTGTAAAGATTTGCCGAAGAAAGGGAAGAATGATCAGGAGAAAGAGCAGAGGAGGGCAGAGAGCAAAGACAAAGGTAAGAATGAGGAGACCAGAAAAAAGGAGAAGAAAGAGCCCCCCATCACTTACGTACCGGCAAAGAAGGCCAAAGTTGGCCACATCTTTGACTCCCCAACTCCCCCTGCTCCGGCTCCATCCCCAAGTTCAACAACTATGTCCAAGCAGGAGAAAGCAAACCAGAAGCTGAAGGAGTTGGCCGATTGCCTTCGCTCTTCTGAGGCAGGAGACATAGCAGATTTCGACTCAGACACAGACCTTTTAGAAGACATGGCCAAGCGGCCAAGCGCAAGGAACAGGAAGAAGCAACGGAGGCAGCTTCAGACGAGGAGATGGAGGTAGGAGAAAGTTGTGAGGATGAGGATGGAGATCAGGGCCAAGACCATGAGGAAGAGGAGCAAGAGCAAGAGAACCAAGAAGAGTAAGAGGAGGAAGAGGATGAAGGTGAAGGGAGTGATGGGGAGGGCAGCCAGGTCATGACTGAGGCAGAGCTGACGTCAGAGGATGGGTGTGTGACCGGGGAGGAAGAAGGGTGTGAGAAGATGAAGCCTGAGGATTTTTGTGAGGAGGGAGACGAGGAAGAGGAGTTCGAAGCCGATCCATGTGTTGAGCCTGCAGCCTCAGAACCTGGCCCTGTGCATGCGCTGGTTCCAGTGACGCAAGCCACGGCAGACACCACACTGAAACTGCGCAACAGTATCTTTCTGGAACTTATTGTCTTAAAGTTAACCTTTTTTTCACCCCTACAACCCACACATGGGCTGCCTAGTTTTCACCCTGTAAGACTGTATCTAGATTGGTCCAATCAACACGTCTCAGGCACCACAAACAAGAAAGAGTATGACACGTTCTGCCGCCAGATTCGCTCCAGCGGCAAGTTTCCTGTTTCTTTGTCCGACTATTGTCAGACAAACCGACTTGATTTATTCAACGTTTGGTTAGACAATGGTGGCGACTGGGACGCTACAAAGGTTCAGGTGGAGAGGACCCAGTCCCAGAAAAATTCGACGGTCAATGGCTGGCGTGCTGTGCAGGGTAAAGAGTTACGACCCAAATATACCCCGGAGAAATTTGCCCAGCTGGTTGCCTCCAGGCGAGCAGCTGGGCTGTTCTACAAAGATGACGATTTTCCAGATGATGAAGATGATGCTTATCTGACATTAGCCCATAATTGGGGGATACCTATATATTGCTGTGGGAACAAGAAAAGCTATACTGTATTCCGGATCATATTACACACACAAACGCACACCTATAAACGGTACATATGTCCATCATTACTATGGATAAAACATATTGGCCATATTATATATCCTCTTATCAAATCAAGTTGTGCTCCGAAATAGGTTCCTTTTCAACAGCTCAGCACCCAATGGACTCCTCCAACCATCACGATTTGTTACTCTCAATTTTTGACAAATGCCAAAAAAACAAATCCATCAAATGCCTTTCTAGCCCAGGAATGTTGGTTCTTCATGCGTTCTGTGCAAGAGGTGAAGCAAAAAACGGAAACAGCTGAGAAGATGCGCTTGAAAGCTTCTAAGGAAGTTAATGCAGACCTGAGGAGCAGCCTGATAGACCCTGACTCAGGATTGTTCCGGCCTGGTAGCTTGCCCAAAGTTGAAGGAGCTTCTGCCTCGGCCAGCAAAGCTCTCATGAGGTCTTTTGGGCAGGCAACCAGTTGTGAAACTCGTGGCATGCAAACCCATTCTTTTCCCAGCATATGTTTCCAAGCTCAAAGGTCCCTTAATTGTTTTCAACAGTATCGCCATTTCCCCATACCAACTTGTCCCTGGTCATCTCTTTTTCGTCAGGTGGCTGCTGCGCCAAAGAAAGCACCGAAGCAGAAGGCTGAAAAGATTCTGGCCTCAAGCTGGGCCGGCCAGGCAAAGGAGCGACAGGAGACTCTTTTGCAAGATGCTGCCAAAGCTAGAACATCTTCAATAGCCCTTGGGTCAATTGAGTATGCTTCAGAGTTGTCAAAGCAGCTTCTTGAACATGCAACCAAGTTGGAGAACTTCTACAAGAAAATTGACCAAGCGATCCAGCAAGATGCCAGTGAAGGGGCTTTCAAAGCCATCATGATCAAGATTCGTGAAGGGGATGCTTTTGGGGAAAAGGCTAAGGCCGGGTTGTTTCCATAGCAAAAGTTTTCATATGCCTACGAACTCAAACGCGGAGCAAACCCCTTCAATGATTCAACTCCAACTATGATTGTTTGATTCAAAGAGTAATCGAATCCCATCATATTGAATCCTGCCTATCATGTGAGCCCTGCTAGGCTGCTGCCCAAGCCTTCTTACGAACTGCGAAGGCAAAGGGCAAGGCGAAAGCGAAGCCCAAAGCTAAGGGTTCGGCGATTGGTGCTGCTCCAGCTGAATCTTCCAAGCCTGGGGGTTCGCAGCAAGATGCAGCGAACACGAACTGAGTGAAGCTGAAACCACCGAGTTTTGATGGGTGTTGCCATTCAATATAGTTTTCCTCGGGCTTCCATAGACAGTGGGCCAAACCAAATACTTCAGATTCACCACTATAACAGCGGTAATTCCAGTCCAAAAAAACTGTAGTAATTCCAATCCAGTTTGATTAGAGAAAAGAACATTGGTTTTTGTTGGCATTCTGCAGGGAGCTGGGGGCCTATAAAATGGCCATGGTCTGAGAGAAGCTGGCGTTCGAACCCTCATGGGCATCGCAGTAGAAAAGATTTCAGAGTTTGCTCATGGTTTTGAAGCTTGCCAGAACAGCTATTTTAAATTTACGATTTCCTGTTGTCTAGTTTTGGGTTATGACATATCACCTCTGTTCAGGAAATCGTAAAATCGAAATGGCGACCAAGCAAGACATCAGTCCAGTGGTTCAATCAAACCGGGCCAGGTCTTTGCAATGGATCTTCGTTTACAACCAGGACCCGGCAACGCAAACAAGGGTGAGAATGGGATGTTCCCAACAACTATGAATATCAGAATACACATATGTATACACATATGCTCTATGTAAGACTCATGTAGGTGTATCTTACATATAAATGTATAATATCTGTACAAGAGAAATATGCAGATTGTGTACTATCATTCAAGATGTTTGGTATTTACCCACCAGATACCCGTAAAATATTTACACGCTTATCTTGCTGTTTGTCCAAATATTTACATACAAGTTCATATCTACATAATTTAAGATCATATTCATGTATGCATACACTGGCATATGTATCTATGTGTGTACATGTATGTATGTATGTATGTATGTATGTATGTATGTATGTATGTATGTATGTGCAAGTTACATGAGTGCATCTGCACGTGCATGCCTATGCCTCTGTTTTTGTGTACTGCCAAAGCACATGCATATATGTAGATATATGTATATGTGCGTGTATGCATGTATGTATCTATGTATCTATCCATCTCTGTGTGTGTGTGCATGCTTGCATGTGTGTGGGTGTATCTATGTTTGGAAGTATGTAAGTCTGTAGGGGTGTAAGGGAGTATGCACAAGTATTAAGCAGGTATATGTATATATACAGATTTTACCTATGAAACACATAGATTAAATACATGCATATACATGATGTGTATATATATATATATATATATATATATGCATACAAAAAAAAAGCTTGGGATCCAACGGTTGTTCCATAGTTATCCAGACATGGGGATCTTGGAAGGAAACGCCGGAGGTTGGAAGATATGGATGAATCAAAGACGGTGAACGCTATGACCAATATGATTGGGAGGGGCAAAATCAGCATAGAGGGGGCTGCAGACCTAGCTCGATGCATTGTGGATGACCACTCCATCCCTCATGAAGCCCTGGTTGCCTTTAGTTCTCTGGGTGCTTCGGGGAATTGTCCAGGCAACAGTGAACGGGACCTTCATCGATGGTTACAACGACTGTGGAATTTCAACCTTCAGCCTTACACAGTGTACATGGACTTAGAAGTGACTAAGCGATCAGACTCAATCATGTGTTTATGTGGTGTTGAATCTTTTTGTAAGCTTGATCTAGTTGGGATTCCTTCGACCACCCTGCGTGTCTGAGGTTGGAGCAAAACGGCCAACTCGAACACCTGTCAGGATGCTGCTCCCACACGAGATCTTGCACTGTTTGTGGGCTGCAGGGTGCCCCTTCATCTTTGACTCCATTATGCTGGGGAATTTAGACAGCAATTCTCGGATTACATTTTGGAAACACTTGGCTACCTGTAAACCTTGGAAATGTCACCCAGCATTGCATCGGAACGATGTGTCCTATGACAAACTGGTGGGGTTTACAATCCACGCTGATGGGGCACAGATGTATTCTGATGATGAGTTCTTCGTGTATTCAATCTCGAGCGTGTTTTCTTCTGAGGGATGCACAAAAGACATCCTGTTGGTAAAAATACCACTGGCCATCATCCCTGAAAGACAAATGCGATCGAAAGATGTCACTTCCACATAGTTTGGAAAGATTTTGATTATTTTGCTACTTCAATTAACTTCCCAAAAACAATTAACCCCTTGCCACTCGCCACAAACTTGACAGTGCACTTGTTTTGAGGTCCGAGCTGCTGTGAACAAAGTGGTAGCCGATGTCACTGCTTGGAGCTTGAAGATCTGCACCTCCGGTGTGGGACCGCAGCGTGGGTTCTACAATGAGGCGTTCCCAGAAAAGTCATACCGCCATGGTCTGAGTGGAAAAATTTTGGCCGGTGGCTGGAAGCCACTAGACAGAAATAAAATTATTTTGGGAAAGATTCCAGCTATGGTTTTTCATCCCTTAATTCCCTTAAGCCTATTCTGATGGTAAAGTTTCCCCAATTCTTGTCTATTCCATGACAAATGGGTTTCAATGCTGAGGGGATGTTATGTGGCATTCAAAGCGGATTTGAAAGCACGAGTTCAAGTACATGCCCTGACTCGCAACTACTTGTGCAATCTGATCTTTGGGCTTGGTGGCAAGAGTTTTGAGGTTGCCCCCAAGATTGCATTGCATTTGTTTAGGGGTACTGTTGATCAACAACTCTAGGAAATAAATCTTTGGTTGAATGCGTTTAGCATGGGCACCCTCTGAAGTCTTTACCTGGATCAAATGGGTCTTCACAATCTTTTCATTGTAATTTGGTTAGCTGTCAGCTAGGATTTGCGACCGCTGTTTGGCAGCAACTGGTGACAAGTGTCCTGAATCTATGTACTACAAGAATTTCAGTCATACAGCTGCGTGGCCATTGACAGCTATTGATCACGAAATGCACATGCAGATGGATACCCCTTCTCCATGGTCGGTGGTTGAAGGCTTCAACTTTGAATCCTTGTCCTACGATTGGCTTCACAATGTTTACCTCGGTATTGGAAGGGACCTCGTGGCTAGTGGGATACTGGTGCTGATAGAACACAATGTATTTCCACTTGGTGCAGACCTCGATGAAACTTTGGGGAATGTTCACCGGGAAGTTCGCAGAACTTGTGCCAAGAACGGGTGCCTGGATTCATTCTTATTTCATTTAGGTTTGATGGAATTTAAACAACTTAAGGAATTACAATGGGGGCACAATAATATCTTGTAAGTACTTGGGGCCAACGTTTTCCCAGGCTCTACTTTCCATGCAAACCGCAGCTCACCAAAGCCAATGTGGGTGGGAGTGACGATTTCGCCGTTCTGGGATCTCGCTTCAAGGGTGCCACAGTCAAAACTTTGATCTGGTGGTTGGCAGTTACATCCCAAAAGGTTTCTGACCAAAGACCCACTGAATTGTGGCTGCACCCCATGTCAATGTTTGAACTTACACCCAAAACAAGACACTATATGGGATGATATTTGACACTGATATATCCTTTTGTTTTTGGACCTGATAACTGTCATCGTCTAAGGAACCTATCCTTGCTTTACTGGCAACCTGTTGTTTTTGGATGCAGCGATCCATTCACATCCAAGACCGCTCCGGCCTCACATTCTCCAGGATCACGATGCTTGTGAAGCTGGGCAGTCTGTCAAGCTCTACCTCCGGGCGTATGTGGATCTGGCTGCCCGCTACTTTTCCAACAACCGCATGTTGTTCAAGATTCGCCATAAGACCCATTACATGACACATGTTTGTGCTGAAATTGAGGTGTACAAGATCAACCAAAAAGTCTTTGCTACATGGGGCGAGGAAAGATTTTTAGGAAAACTGAAATCCATTGCCACAAAGTGTCATGGAAAGACAGTTACATTTCGTATCTATCAAAGATATTTGCTGGCTTTTGCAATTTTCTTGCAAGAGCACCGAAGGGTAGCTAAGGCTCATGGTATCGCATGAAACGGTCAACCTTAAACCAAAAGGTAGACGATACCTGGTGCCTTTTGAGTTGGCAAAGAAATGCCTTCCTGTTCCAACTTGCATTGGGGTTGCGAGGAACAAGTGAAAATGCAGTCGGCTGACCCCACCTGAGTTTTGGTACCATGCATGGGTTGGCAGCGGGCCGGTGAAAGTCCCACTAGCTGTTTTGATTTTACAACTGCAATCTGGTCAGCTATCCTAAATTCAATGGCGTCTTAAACGGGACAAAACAATTACCCATCACCTTTTTGTATGTTTCTTGTTTCTCATTCCTAGATTGCACTTCAGCTGGAGGCCGGCGAAGGTTGAACCTTGACCCAGGTTGAACTCAACCACTGCAACAGGGGTTTCAACAAACTATCGCTTGGCATTGGATTCAAATAGGATTGTCCAGGGTTAAGTTCCCCCTATATTTCCACAGCTAGATTGGTTCTCAAACCTGTTCTTAGCTGCGAGCTTGCCATAAATTTCCTGTTCCCATTGTCGGTCAACAAAATAGTGACCCCATTGAGCACCAATAAAGAAATGAGCGCATTCAAAATCCAGTTGGTTGATGACTTGTATAAAAAAGCTAGATATGTTGATAGTTATCCCGTATGTTTTCCCAGAAAATTTAGAAATCATGACAACACTTCAGAAACTCACATGTGTTTGGGCGATGCAATTAGGGGTGTCGAGTGGATAAAACTATAAAGGGTTGGGTTGGAACCACCATACACTGTATAATTCAGTTAAGATGTAACCCCCAACACATACATACATCATACATATATATACATATATATATATATGTATAGTTATAATATGTGTGTATAAATATAAATAATACTAATAATACATATATGTATATTAGTATTTGCTTTTTTTCCACTGGGCAGCGCGAGAGCATGGAAGGAAGCTTGACAAAGGTAAGCAGTGGAGCTTAAGTGACATGCTAGCCCGCCACATCCCTCCCTATCATTGTTTGGAAAAACGTCGTTGCTCAGTATTGTCGTTTCTTTTGTAGCACAAAGACGCAAACGGCAGTGCTCAACATTGTCGTTTCCGTTGTAGTAGGAAGACACAAACGGCATTGCTCCACATTGTCGTTTCCGTTGTAGCAGGAAGACGCGCACGGCAATGCTCAACATTGTCGTTTCCGTTGAAGTAGGAAGACGCGAACGGCATTGCTCCACATTGTCGTTTCCGTTGTAGCAGGAAGACGCGCACGGCAGTGCTCAACTTTGTCGTTTCCGTTGAAGTAGGAAGACGCGAACGGCATTGCTCCACATTGTCGTTTCCGTTGTAGCAGGAAGACGCGAACGCCATTGCTCCAAAGTGCCGTTTAGTCAAGTCGCGGCGGCAAAAACCAGTGCATGGCAATGATCAGCCATACATTCTGCTTGATGACTTTCTGATAAGAAGCAATGTGCTCAAGCCTTGCATTCAAACAAGCCAAGCAGCGCAAACGACATTCTTGCAACGGAGCTGTTTTCGTCCAGGAGCAAGTTGCAACCATTGGGGTCAAAATAGAAAGCTCGATATAGATGCAATGTTTTGGCTTTGTACTTTGCAACGCTGGTTACAAAAGATAGCAGCATTGTCGTTTGTGTTCCTACCCTGGCTTGTGATGAGATTGCAGGAGCCAAAAGTATTGCCACAACTTTTCTTATGTATCCTTTCTCTTACATACCCCTTTGCTTTGCTTGCTGCAATAAGTCGCTTGGCGAAAAAGGCAACGCACAACACTGTCGTTTGCGTTCGAGCAAGCAACGCAAACGACAAAGTTGCACGGTGCCGTTTTCGTCCAGGACTCTCTTTGTGACTATTGGCTCCCAGCGAAAAAAGATCTTGCTAAGCAGATCTACCAGAAACATTGCCTTGATACAGAACTTTTTTCTGCTCGCTATTGTTTTTGCAATTTGTTCCTGGACGCAAGCGACATTGTTACGACAATGTCGTTTGCGTTGCTTCACTTGTTCAAAACACTTGCAATGTTCCAGCACATTGTCAAAACAATCACAATGTTCAAAGCAATTGCCAAACTTTTTGTCAAAGATTTCTTTGCAATTCATGAAATTTGTGGCCAAAACCTTAGATACAAAGTATGCTACAAACGACATTACTGGCGCAAACGACAACGTCCAACTAAAACCTTGTCGTTTGCGCAAAAGCATGTGCAATTAGCATCGTTGGATGCTCTAGGTGGGAGTCAAAGTTGGAGGCAAAACAAATGAAGTGTCAATCACCTGTTTTGCTTTTGGATCCCAAGGAGTCGCCTGAAGTTTCAGAAACAGTTTCTGATCCCATTGTTTGGATGGGACCTGTCGCTTGATAGTTCTCACCTTAGTGATGCCAGTTCCAGTGGACACAATGTGCTCATCAGCCTCAGTGTCACGTCCTAACCAAATTCCAGTGCTCCATGCAGTGTCTCCTTTGTCTTTCAATTTTCCAGGGTAGCGAAACAGAACAGTTTCTCCGAACTCACACACAGTCGAGCTATAGTTCTTTCCCCAACGACGAAAGTATGAGGTGTTTCCATCAGAGTGAGTGAGAAAGCGATTCAAAGTAAACTGAGCGTGTTTCACGATCCATGGATAAACAGCATGTTGCACGGAAATTTGCACTTTGTATCGCTCCTGTAGTTGCAGTCTGATTGCTCTTGCTTGACCAAAAAAGTTTTGTTGAGATTTACCTACAAAACCATGTGCCTGTTTCCAGTCACGTGGAGTTGCTCTCATGGACATTCCGCCAAGTTCAGTCAGCGTTTCTGAAACCAAAGCCTTCAGTGAAGGTTCTGGGTCGTATTGAATGATACCATAAGTTCTTCCAATCTCAAAAACAAAACGTTTCAGTTCAGCAATACAGTACTGGTCTCTACCTTTGCTAGGAGTCACAACAGCAGAACCAAGTCCAGTTTGAATGTCTACAGCAGTGAGAACAGTCACGGTTGGGCATCCATCACCAGTTGTCAGAAAACAGTAGTCAACTTGGATGACCGGTTGTCTGTCCAAGTTTCTTCTGGATGGAGTTTCTTTACCTTTCGCTTTGACACAAATTTCACACCAGCTACGATATGGTAAGTGTGTCAAGTTGTGAAGTTCTCGTTCTTGCTGTGTCGGTTCCAGTGGAGAAGTCAGTGCCTTAGGCTTACGCGCAATGACATCAAACGTCTCCTGTTCTGGTTCCTCAGTGAAGTTCTCCAGTGGTGCAGGCTCAAAGATGGTGTATCCGATCCAACTATGTCCTACATCAAGTCCTACTTCATATTGATCAGTTTTCTGATCTTCTTCTCTCCACCAGTTGCAATAAGTCATTCCATGACTCTTGGGTCTGTCCGGTGATTTCACGAAAACAGTCCAACGCAATGAACCAAGTTGGTCCTCAGTTGGTCCTCCGTCAGTGAAGTCAGGCTCATACAGCGTGTTTCTTAATTGGTAATGGAATCTGACCCATGCAATTGGAAGTTGAAACCAGTAGTCACCAGTCCTTTGTTCACCAGTGGTTGGATCTGGGACAAAGAAAAGCTCAGTTAGCTTCACCCTAAGGTAACTAGAGTTCCAGTCAGTACATGACAGCAGTTCGGCTGTCAGTTTCTTACCGATCACATCTTCATCCAGTGAACAGCGTAGTTCCTCAGTGTGTCGCTTTCGTGACTTCAGTGAAGTGTCCTCAGTGACTTCAGTATCTTGAACCAGTTCAGTGTTTACATCCTCAGAGGCTGGAGTTGGAACACCTGGAGGTGGTCCTTTAGTCAAATACCTACGGCTAGGAGGAGGTGAGTTGAGTAGAAAAACAGTTCTACCTTTCCAAAACTCGTCCTGTCTAGTATTTGGTTCTGACAAGTTCTTGAAGTCAAAGTCCACGATCTTGTCTGTCTTACCTTGTCCATAGTCCAAGTAAGTGGTTCGAACTCCTGAGAGTTGGTTCAGTTCAACAGGACATCCAGGACCAGGAGTAAACAGACTTCTTCTTGGTCGTTTGTGAATTCTCACCAATTTGTAGTTTGCTTCATCAAGTTGCCATTCATCAACATGATAGTACTTTGGCTTAATAGTTCCAATGAGAGATTCCAATTTCTCAAGTGGATCATCTTGAGTCACAACCGTACTCTCTTCGGTAGTGATATGACTCAATTCAGTGGAAAGTTCTCTCATGTGTTCTTCAAAGTGCGCAGTGAGTTCTGGTGGAACATTGGAGAATGGTTCAAGTGATGGTGTCAGGTACAGCAAAGTGCCGTGTCGAGTGATTGAAATTTTCTCGCCTTCAGGAGTCAGTAACATTAAACAATTGTTTCCAAGAACAGTCCAAAAACCTTGCAAAACCATTCTTGCAACAGAAACCAAACAAAAAGGAACATCACATACATAATAGTTGACATTCAAGTATACACCGTCACAGTTGTACCGAACTAGTCTGCGTCCGTATATTGTCAGTGGTTTTCCAGTCACACTTCTCAACTTGGGAGGATTCTCACCTAGTGGAAGGAGAGGATAGTCAGAGGCATAGTTCGCAGGACAACAGTGAGCAGCAGCTCCAGAGTCAAACAAGACCCAATGCTCTTGAAGTGAGAGTGAGGCTAAACAAGTCTCGTGAAACAAATCCAAAACGTCTGAGGCATCTGAAGATTGAGAGTCCAGTGACAATCCTTCAGATCTACCAAACATGCTCAAAACAGCGACAGTACCCAAAAGTGCTCCGGCAGTACCTAACTTCGAAGTTCTTCGAACAGTACTCCTGTTGGTCAAAGTCGAGCCAGTGCTTTGCAGGCTCTCTGGGTCGAAACTA